TCATGGCATTCTCCCTGTGTTCCAGCTAAGTTTATAGGAACCTTCTGCTATTGAATTCTGCATCTCTTGCTTGTATACTCAACTTCAGTTGGACCATTCACAGGAGGCTTTAAAAATAGTCAAGTCTTCCCATTTCCCTCCCAGTCCCACCCCCACCCCCTGCCATCAAATTGTACAACTCCATGATTAATCTATGGCATCATATAATTTGATGGGTAGGTGAGGGAAATGGGAAGGATCTGGTGTGAAAAACCAATGTATTAGAGTTTTGTAAATAAATTATAAAAAATGTAAAATAGAATGTCTATGAATGATTGTATGAAATGCTATGTAAATGAAAGATTACATAAAATAATGCATAGGAATGAAACATACTGTAAAGATATTATTATATGAAACTCAGTAAAAGATATTAAAAAATATTCAAGTTTTTTCCATCTTAAAAAAAAAAGATTCTCTCTTGATCCTACATCTCTTCCTTTTTATACCCAACTTTCTTGAGGGGATCGTCTGCACTAATTTCTACCTTCCTCACTTTCCCAAGACTCTTGCTAAGGTTACTATTGGCATACAGCAGCTAACCCTAATAGTCATTTCCCAGTCCTCACTGAGACGGACTGACACAGTGATTGCAGCAATGAGCTTGAACAAGGTGGAGGCCGCAGGACAAGGCAGGACAACACAAGGTTCTGATGTATTGTTCACAGGGTTGCTACATATCTTTGTCAACCACACTTAACTCCGTCACCACCATTTTAACTGATTTCTTGCTCATTCTGTCCAGGTCTTGGGACATTTTACCCCAACCACAGTCTTTCTCTTACCACTATGTCCACTCCTCCTTCATGATCTGTCTTGGTTTGGACGGCCTCGAAACCTTCTTCTTTTCTTCAGAACTTTCTTTTTAACCCAAACCTACCATCTCAACAATCTTCTCCAGAGCAAATCATATTACAGTCCAGACTTCCCTATTCACACTAGATTTGTATTTGTGTTTAAACAATCTTTACTCACCAGGAGTTCTAGTGGTGCAGTGGTTAAAAAACTCAACTGTTACTTGAAAGGTCAGTGGTTTGAAGCTACTGGCTACTCCTTGGGAGAAAGATGGGAGAAAGATGAGCCTGTCTAATTCTGTAAAGATTTGTATCCTTGGAAATGATACAGGCAATTCTACTCTATCCTATAAGGGTCGTTATGAGTCAGAAATTACTTGTTGGCATGGAGACTCAAGGATCTTCAACAAGATGTGTCAAATTCAATATGGTCTATGTTTTTTACTTTTTGTTTCTCATGTCAGTGAATTATACCACCATGTAGCTATTCAAGCCAGAAACAGGGACATTGTTCTTACCTCCTCCCTCTCCCTTATTCTCTTCCATATCCAGTTCCTCACTTATTTCCATAAATGCTATCCCACAACTGTCTTTGTCCATATCGCTCCATTTTTCACCACAGCAAAAACTTGACAGGACTGTCTTATTTTTCTGGGTCTCAAAAATTTTCCATCTTATCACCTTTTCATTGCTCATTTTAGTGGAAAATATTTCCATTTTCCTCAAGAAAGGTTTATGTTTTACACAAGTTCCAGCTTTTGTTAAGTTTTATTATATACTACCTCTTAGTCCTGGCTTCCATCAGCTATCACAAGGTGGAACAAGTCTTTCTCTCCAGCCTCCCTCTAGTCTCCTCTCTATACTACAGCTGATAGGCTCTTTGTAAAACTGCAAATCTGGTCCTACTATCCCTGCTTTAAACTCCTCAGTAGCTTCCCTTAGAGTGTGAGATCTTTCAGCTCATCTTGACACATTTGCCCTCCGGACAGTTCAGTTATGTTGACCTTCTGACATGTTTTCAAACATCAAACTTCTTTCTGCCACAGGACATTTGCATGTGCTGTACCCTCTATAAGGGAGCTCTGGTAGCTTAGTGGTAAGGAGTTGCACTCTCAACCCAAAGGCAAGCTGTCTGAATGTATCAATTACTTCATGGGAGAAAGATGGGCACAGTCTCCTTCCATACAATTAACTGCCCTTGTAAAACCTCCTGGAAGGTCCACTATGAGTCTGTTCCAATTTGACAGTACATAACAATACCCTCTATAGGGGTCTCTGGCGGTGTAGTGTACAGCGTGTTGTGCCGCTAAATTAAAAAAAATTTAAGTCATCAGATACTCCACTGGGAAAATACAAGCATTCTCCTACCATAAAGACTTACAGCCTCAGGAACCTGCCAGTGTGTTACCATGAGTGAGATTTGACTAAAGTGAGGGTTTTGTCTTGTGTTGTGTTTCAGTATACTCTCTATATAGAATAAGACCTCTGGTGGCCTAGAGGTAAGAAGTTGTGCTTCTAACCTGAAGGCATGCCTTTCGAATCCACTAGCTGCTTTGAGGAAGAGATGGACAGTCTCCTCCTGTGCAATTTACAGTCTCTGAAAGCCCATCTGACGGTCAGTTATGACTCAATAGCACGTAATACTTAACACACTACATAAAATGGTGCTGTTCAGTATAGTAGTCACGAGCCACATAGAACTTCTGAACACTTGAACTATATGGTTAGTGCATCTGTGGAACTGAATGGTTAATGTTACTTATTATTTCCATTAAAAAAACCATAATTCAATCAAGATGTTGAAAAACTGCTAAATGTACTTGGAAAAAAATTAGTATGTGAATCTCCTTTGCAACTCTAATTTTTATGGTCCCTCAAACAGATCAAGGAAGTTCTAGTGGCCTCGTGGCTAAGGAGTTATGTTACCAACCCCAAAGTATGGGGCTCGAATCCACCAGCTGTTCCATGGGGAGGGGGGAAGAGGAGCATTCTCCTCCCAGTGATTTATAGCCTCTGAAAACCTGCTGGAGGATCAGGTATGAATTGGTTCCAAGTCAATGGCACTTAACAACAGAACAGATTAGGTATTTCTGGTCATAATTCAGCCTCTGAATTGAGATGTAACGTAAGCATACAGACAGAATGTTGAAAACACGGCTCAAAAAATGCAAAAGATCTCATTTTTGTATTGATTACATGTTGAAAGATAGTATCTTGCATATATTTGGTTAAATAAAAATATTATTTAAATAAACTAGAAAACTAAGTTACATACGTGGCTCACATTCTATCTCTAGTGGACAGCACTGGTCTAGAATGCCATTCCTCCTCTGTGCTCTCATTCCTCGTCCTTTTATTCCCTCCTCTCCAAAGGCTCCCTGAGATAAAGCCTTATTGTTACTGTTATGTTCCCTTCCACAGCTATGAGTATGTGTTAGAGGTTCCCTGCTCTTAACTCTGCCCCTTTGTAATTGTACATTCATCTGCAGGATTATTTGATTTGCTTATCTCCTCTACCAAACGCCAAGCTTAAACTCTATGCAAGCAGGGCCCAGCTGTGGCTTCTACTGGTAACCAAGGAGCAAGTTCAGAGACTGGCACACAAATGCTGGCGGTGGACACCAGAATACATGAGAGGTGATTCTACCTCTGCCCTGTTCTGGGACTGCCCTCAACCCGTTTCAGAGAGAACCTCCAGCCCTGCAAAGGCTCCCATATTCCTTGATTCTATAGATTCTTTCTCTTCCCGATGGGAAGTCCTTTACAGTGATCCAGAATCCCTGTAACTGCAAGTTGTAAGCATCTCCAGAGGGAAGCTTGCTTTTGGGTGCTGTTGAGTTGTAAAATTGCCCTAGCGGCTGTTGTCCTTACAGAAGCAGAGTGCCAGATCTTTCTCCTGCAGGGTGGCTAGATGGGTTTGAACCATTAACGTTTTGGTTATTAGCCAAGCACTTAAACCATCATGTCCCCAGGGCTCCTTGACGGAAGCTTGTTGTGTGCCAATGCATGGATTCTGACTAGTAACAAGCTTATAGGACAGAACAGGATCGTCTTATAGGGTTTCCTGGGCTGCAATCCCCATAAGAGACCATCACACTACTTTTATCACATATTAGCTACTGGGTTTATACCACTGGCCTTTCACTTAGAAGCCAAATGCTTTAACCATCACACCACAAAGGTTCCATTTGAAAGAAGCTTAGAGGTAATTAAAACAACACACCTCAAACTTTGATGTGCATGGTATCTTGTCAAAATCCAGAATCTGTCTGGTTCATTTGAGTCTGCTGAAATGGGACCCGAGGTTTTCAATTCTAACAAGCTCCCTAGAGAACATTGCTGCTGGTCCATAGACCACAGTGAGTAACAAGGATGCCAGGAACTGGTTACCACTCCCAAGTGCCCCCAGGCTTCTCTTCCTGCTTTGCACTCACTGCCTAGGAGGCTATCAGAGATTCTCAGCCCTGTTCCTTTTTGGCCCCATTAGCCCCACCACTCCTTGTACCCTAAAGAGGAATATTGTGTCTGTTGTTACTGCTGTCTTTTTTTTTTTTTAATTTGAAATAAACTTTTAAGCAGTTTTAAGAGTCAAGTCAGTCCTGGTATATATCACGGACGTATAACATATACCCTCCAAGGATAAAGTCACACAGCTAGAGAAGCAGAGCAGGGTGTGAGGAGGCTTCTCCCAGGCCCCAGTCTTTCTCCAGCTTTGGCTCCATCTGCCACATTGGCCAATCCCATCAGCTTCTCTGCTCGGCCATGGTTGGGCCTGGACACCGGGGAAATGTTCTTTCTCTCATGTCCATGGGAGCATCTTAAACCAAGCTGGGTCCTCTTCCTCCCCCACTTGTTCACATGTTGCTATCCAAGGCATGGGAATGTCTTTGAGGGGTCTGGAAAGAGGGTAGAGTGTGTGTGAGTGTGTGTGTATGCACAAGTATACACGTGTGTTTGTACATCTGGACATGGCTTTGAACATGGGTATGTGTGTGTTTGCATGTAGGAATGTCTGGCTGGATATTTGGACAGTTTCCACACTTGTGTGCACGTGCCCATATATGTATGGAGGATGTAGGTGTCTTGTTGCCCCGGTAGAGTAGAGTTTTCATCACACAGAACAGTTCTGGATTCTTTCTGCATGGGCCCGGAGGCTGGGGGTGGTCCCTAGGTGGGCCCCACAGATGTGGCCGGCCCCACTGTCCCTTGCTGTTGCTGGCCTTTGCGTCTCCGGGAGCCAGCCCCTGCCTCCTTGTTCTCCTTCCTGTTCAGGTTCCTGTTGGCATTCTCCCGCCGGCCCTGGCCTCCCTTCCTCCTCTTCTGCCCTGCAACCCAACAGAAGGAAGAATCAACAAAGGAGGTTTTGCTGAAGCCAGAGGCCCTGGGTATGGTCAAGGGCCCTAGTGGGGGTGCCTAGGAAGGGAGGGGAGGGAATAGAGGAGGGGCTTGTAAATGCTCCTTTAGCCAGTCAGGGTCACTTCAAGGCCTCCTCTGACCGGCAACACCCTTCCCAAGGACCCTGCAGCAAGAGTGTCCACAGCCTTTGCTTTTTCCACCCCTCAAATGCACACCGACATCCTAGTTTTTCTTGGTCCCAATGAGCCCACAGTGCTCTCCAGGAGTGCAACACTGATCTCAGGACAAACAGGACAGTCCCTGTCAACTGATTGCTGCTGGCCACCTCCATTCACAGCAGGCAGTATGTGACCTTGGTCTAATCAGTACACTTCTCTGGGACACGGCACCCACTCCTGTACCCCTTCTAACTACTGCAGCCCCTTCTGGTTCTACCCATGGTGATTCTTGGAAGCGGAGCACAGGGGTGGAGTATTGGCTGCAGAGGCTTCCAGAGGCTAAGACACTCCTCTCCGCCAGGACAAGACACACGACTTGGATAGCAAAGGGTCCTGAGTTAGGGTCTCTCATTCAACAAAGGGAGGCCTGCTCTGGGCAACAGGCTGGAGGCACAGGACGTGAAGCTCCGTTGACTGGTGCCTGACTCCTGATGCCTGAGAGGAGGAGGCTGACACTCACCCTCAGGACATGGTGTTCTCCGCACTGTGCATCTGCGGGTCTCTTTGGTGTCAGAGCAGACAGCATGGTCTCCTGCTGGGGCGTGGAGCACCCTCCGCGTCCGCTCCTCAGAACCCCTCCGGAAACCACAGAGCTTCTTCTTCTTGGAGCATGGCCCCCACGGGGACCACTCACTCATTTCACATTGAGCTGTTGGAGAAAGAAGCACTGGACCCAGAACACCCTTGGGGAGCTTCCTGTCCACCTGCTCTTGGCCTGGGCTGCAGGGTGAAGTCATCTTTAACCCTCAAGCCAAAACACCCAAGCCAGCTGCCAATGAGTGAACCCCAACTCATGGTGCTGCAAGAATGTCAGAGCAGAACTGGGCTCCCGGGTACTTTCAGGACTGTGACCTTTGGGATGCAGATGTTGAGATCTGTCTTCTAAAGCACCTCTGGGAGGGCTCAAACCACCAGCCTTAAAGTTAGTAAGTAGTGCCTGAACTATGGAGCCCTGCGGGGACTCCAATTAGTCCAGAGGGCAGAAAAGTCCCAGAAGGAACCTGGGAGGAGGACCTGTGTGGTGTCCAGCGCACAAACTCTCTGGTCAAGCCGCTGCCCAGGCCTCCCCTTGGGTCCTGTGCCCCTATCCACAGCCCCCCACCTGTACCCTGTGCCTCACCAGGACTGCTGCACTCCATGGTGCCGTTGGCGGCCGTGGAGCCCTCGGGACAGGCTGGGTAGCAGCGGCCCTTGTGCAAGTACAAGTTCTCCTTGCACTTGGTGCAGAAGTTGTGGCTGAAGCAGGCCTCACAGTGCTCAATCTTGCACTCTAGGGAGAGGAGGAGATCAGGGGCCCAGCTCAGATGGGGATGGGCATTTCCCTCATCCCAGTACCTACTCAACCACACTCCACACTCCCCCCAGAGAGGGGAGGAGTTTCAATGACAGCAGAGCAATCTTGAGAGGCGCCTAGTGGCCATTCCTGAGCACTGTTGTAGTCCACCAGGTCTAACGCAAACCCAACCCCAGGCTCTAGATAGAACCCAAGGGGAGTCCCATGACAGGGGTTTCTGGAGGAGGACTGGTGGGAAGGGAAGAGAAGCAGCTCCTGGCATCATAGGGGTAAACTGAGGTACACAGCCAGAGAGAGTGGCTGTGTGCCCCCGTTCCCCAGCTGAGCATCTGCAACATCCCCAAGCCTGGTTCTCTTTCTGCTCAGAGTGGGGGTGGGGGGAAGGGGGCAAATCCCAGGGCAAATTCCTCTATTCCTGCAAGGTTGAGTTCCAGGAACCAGCTTGGTTGGACTCCTGGGTCCCTCCCTGATTCCCTCCTGCCAGTTCTCCCTCCTCCTGGGGAGTGGGGGTGCTGTGCAGGGCTTGGCTGGAAGCAGTGGGATCTTTCACAATCTCTCCTTTCCCAGATTGTGGGTGAGGCTACCTTCCTCCCTGTCTCTGGCACCTGAAGCCTGGGCTGCCAGGTTCCCAGGAGCTCTCTACCTCAAACATCTTAGGGACCGAGAGGGCAGCGTGGAGCCTACTTCCACCCTTACAAGCGCCCCACTCCCAGTTCCGCCCTCCTCTGTGCCTCCTGACTCTTGAAGCAGAACTTACCTCTGCCTCCCCTTTCTCCCCCCTCTCCCTGATGCCCTGATTCCTGGACTCAGTTGAGGTAAAATAAGATTAGTAGCCACCATTTGTTGAGTGCCAGACACTAAGGGCCTATAATGCCCCTAGGATTGTACCCAACTGCTGTTTCTGTTGTTTTGTACCATTGAGTCAGAACCAACCCATAGCTGACCCTCCAGCAGGTTTCCAGAGGCTATAAATCTCATGGAAGGAGACTGCCCATTCACCAGCTGGAGCAGCCGGTGGATTTGAATCAGGTGCCTTTGAGAGTGCAGTGCAGCTTCTTACCACAGGGCACCAGAGCTCCTTGTACCCGTCTAGTTGTTTCATTTTAAAGAAAAGGCTTTGAGAGGCTGAGACCCTCTCAAGTGCACACAATGAATGAATGAATAAATGGGAGAGTTGAGATCAGAGCCCAGGTCTGCTGACCTTGCACCAGTTATTGGAGGAACTGATATGCTCAGCATTGGTTTTATTAGCTATAAAACTATCTCCTTCTAATGGTGGTTGTGAGCCTCCAATGATCTGAGAGCTCGGATGTGTTCTAAACCTCAGGGAACTAGGCACACGGGATGGGTTCACCTGAGTATGTTCACCAGTGTCCCCTGGCATTATCAGCACTGAGCTACAGAGAAGGGCATGGAAAGCTGACAGCTGGTGCCATGTGTAAGGAGCTAGCATAGGTGGGGGACAGCAGGAGCCAAGTGGGAAGACTGATGGGGTATGAGGGTGAAGGAGCAGACAGGGACCAGCCTGAGGGGGCCAAGTCAGTGTGGAGGCTGGGGTGGTCTGAAGCTGCTGATGTGTGAGGAGACTGACTGAGCATCCCAGACACATCCTTCAGACTGCAGTGTGGACAGTGGTGCAAGGGGACCTGTGGGGACTGGAGGACAAACGGACAGGCTACTGCAGAGCTACAGAGGGAGATGGTGGGACCCTGGTGACACAGTGGCATTGAGAATAGGCAGAAGGGGGAGAAGGCACCACCAGGATTTGGTTATCAGATCGACTGAGAGCAGCACGAGTGAGAGGTGGGTTCTTAAGTCTGTGTTTGGGGTGGCAGGTTGGGGCTCTGAAAGGTGCCTGCAGGAAAGTCCAGATTTGGAGAGAGAAGATGGGGTCCTGGACTGGACATGCTGTTAAAAACGTAGACGGCTACCTAAAGGATACCTGGCCAGCAGTTAGATACCTGAACTGGGAGCTCAGTCTGCACCTCATGGGAAGCCCTTTCTTCCTCCTCAGCATCCTCTCAGCTGCTCCCACAGACACCAACAGCTCAGAGAAACTGCCCCAGGGCCCAGAGCCTCTGCACCCCTCCCCGTCACACCCACACTCACTGATGCACTTGTTCATGTCGGGGTTGCGGGCATCAAAGTATCCAGGCGGGCAGGATGGCAAGCAGACGCCCACCTGGCGGATGTCACTCCTCTCGAGCAGGATGAACAGCTTGGGCGAGCACTTGAGGCAGCCGTTGACCTCAGAGCAGAGCTCACAGCCCTTGGCGCAGGCCTGGTTCCCCTCGGTACTGACTGCAGGATGGAGCAAAGGTGAGGAGAAGAGCACCGGAGCGACTCCGTCCTCCCCAAGGACACGGAGAGAGTAGGTGGGAGGAGCTGGACTCCACAGCACTGGCTTTCTCTGAAAGCACAGGCCAGGCCAGCAGCTCTCCGCAAGGCTGCTCTCTACGCCCACCCAGCCCGTCTCTTGTAGGAACAAGCACAGATGCCTGGAGCAAGAGCTGCGTCCATCCCACCTGCCACCCTCCAGACACAATGCAAGCTCACCCTCTAGTCTTGGTCCACCAGCCCCAGAGGAGGAGCCGAGGCTGTGCCCTTCCTGGAACGTCCCCCTCTCCTTCCCCAGAAGCAAAGTCCAGCTTAGGAGAGTTTCCTTCCAATTTGGTAATGGTTTAAAGACAAGAGGGAAGATGTGTTAACCTGTCTGACAAAGGGAACACTTTCCCCAAAATTCTGGTGACCTAGTGGTAAGAAGTTGCTCTGCCATCCCTGAGGCATGTGATTCAAATCTACCAGCAGCTCCACGCTATGTGAAAGATGAACGTTCTCCTCCTGTGTGATTTACAGCCTCTGAACACCTGCCAGTGGGTCAGCTATGAATCAGTTCTGACTTGATGGCACATAACGATAATAACCAAGACAAGAAGAGACACAGAAGAACCTGTGCTCACACAGTGACCCTCAACTAGGGGTGACTTTGCTTCTGTGGACAGCTGGCAATATCTACGGGCATTTTTTTATTGCTACAGCTGGAGCCTTGGGATAGTACTGCTATCTCTACAGGACAGAGGCCAGGGGTGGTGCTCTAAGGCACAGAAGAGCTCAACAAGAACAGTTTGGTTCAAAACAATACTGGTGCTGAGGCTGAGAACTCTGGCTGAGAAGCATCTACTGGCACAGTGCCAACGCCAGCCCCAGCAACACAGAGGCCCACACTTTTGATCTCATTCACTTGTTCAGTCCACACTCACCTAGTTCCTCCTAAAGATTCACTATAGGATGAGCTCTAGGGCCCGAGCCAAAGAAGGGAGCCCCACCTCTCTGGGGAGGGAGGGATCTTTCAGTGGTGCAGACAGATCCACAAACAGGCGATGCTGAGAGCCACCAGGCCAGGCAACTGTTGATGCTGCTGGTAGATGCCATCAAGTCAGATCCAACTCAGCAACCCTGTGCACAGCACAGTGAAACCCTGCCCAGGCCTGTACACAGAAGTGGACTCAGGAAGAAGAAAGGAAATGGTTTCACACAGGAGGTGCCATCTAAACCAGCTCTTGAAGATGCAAGGAGACCCAGGAGTGATGTTAAGTGACTCACTGGTGAGGAGCTGTACTAGCAACTCAAAGCCATGTGGTTTGAAACCATCAGCTCCTCTACTGTAGAAAGATGAGGGAGCTCTGGTGGCCTAGTGGCAGGAAGCTGCACTGCAATCCCAGACATACGCAGTTCGAATGCTCTGCTGGAGAAGGAGGGACAATCTCTCTTGTACCAGTCAGATCTGATTTAATGGCACAAACACACAAAATAATAAAATAAAATAAAAAAAGATGGGCAGTCTCCTCTCGTGCAATGTACAGCCTCTGACTACCCTCTGGAGGGTTAGCTTTGAGTCAGTTTTGACTCAATGCCACAGAACAAGAAGCAGTGATTCAGTGAATTAAACAATGTGCTGTTAACCAAAATCAGCTGTTTGACTCCCATGTCTGCCCCGTGGGAGAAAGCTGAGGCAGTCTGCTCCCATGAAGATTCACAGGCTGGAGAAACCCAGGAGTGCGGTTCACCTCTGTCCTACAGCGTTGCTATGAGCCAAGACAGACCGTGGAAGTGGATTTGGTATGATTTTTTGGAAGAATTAGTAGTTGTATATTCTTCTTTTTTCAATTTTGAAACTGGTTTTCACTCAAGCATTCCAGAGTTGTATATTCTTAAGTGGCGAAGATAAAGAAACAATAAAGAATTTGGACAACATAGGACAAATGAATCAATCTATAGGACCTTATGCTCAGTGGAATAAGTCAGTCACAAAAGACAAATATTGTGCATTATCACTATTATCAAAAGCTAAGAGAAGGTTTATACACAGATCATTCTTAGATATTTACCAGGTATGGGAAGGGAGTAAACATGAACACATAGATAATGTTGTTGTTGTTGTTGTGTATCATCAAGTTGGAACTGACCCATAGCTTACCCTCTAGTGGGTTTTCAGAGGCTGTAAATTGCACAAGAGGAGACTGTCCATCATTTTTTCACAGAGTAGCTGGTGGGGTTGGGCTGAGTGTTTTTAGGATGGTAGTGCAGCTCCGTACCACTAGGCCACTGTTACTGTTGTTGTTGTGTACCGCAGAGTGAGAAGTGACCCATAGCTGACCCTCTAGTGGGTTTTCAGAGGCAGTTAATTGCATGGGAGGAGACAGCCCATCCTTCTCCCACAGATCGCTGGTGGCCTCGAACTGTATGCCTTCAGGATTAAAGCACAGGGTTTTTGCCACTAGGCCACCAGAGCTCATGATAGACATACATTAAGACGGGTGAAGGGAAAGGAAATACACAATAAGGGGATGATCAGCATAATATCACTGAAGAAAGAGAAAATATGGAAGGATTATTAGAAATCAGAATTACAGAGAGGAAGTGGGAAAAGTATGATTCAAATTTAGGCACTGAAACTAATTTTATATAATAAAAGGTGTATGAATAGTTGAATGAACAATTTGATTTGTAAACGTTCACTCAAGTCACCATTGAAATAAGGGGTGTGGAGGTGCTTGAAGGAGCAGGACCACAGAGGCATGGAACAGCCCAGTGTTATGACACAGGTCTTTGGAGGTAGGATGGAGGGGAGGGCAGGGTGGGAGCTGAGGCATCTGATCTCAGGGAGCCTCGTATTTGACAGTAAAGAGCTTGAGGAGTCCCTGGGGTGACTAGGGCTAGGCTGGCTCAGGCACTAACTGAAAGGCTGGTTTGAAAGGCCTGCAAACTATTTCCAGCAACCCAGCCATTATTTAGTGAAGAAAACTTGAGCCAGAAATATGGAAAGCAGAGAGAGAGGGGGGGAAAAAAAGAACAGTTTAGCCAAGAGAATCAGAGAAAGATGCTACATTTTTATCATCAAAGCCCAAGCCTTTCTTATCTTGATCATGCTAATATAATTTATAAGAAAATATCAAACCCAAAAGCCCCTAAGGAGTACAGTACTACTAGGACACACAGTGGGTTGCACTGAGTTGGAGACGGCCCAAGGGAGCTTGATTCTATCAAGCAGTATTTCCCAAAGAGCGTGTTCTTCTCCCGAATCGTAATAGGAGGTTGTGGAAGGGGGGCAGGGAGAAGGCACAGCATCAGGTAAGGCACGCTTCTGTTCAGGCTGAATCTCCAAGGAAAAACCAAACAGCAAACCCACTTTGTCGAATCAATTCCGACTCGTAGTGACCCCCCCCCCCCACCAGGGCCAGGGCTGTAAATCTTTACAGGAGACCACTCACCTTTCTCCCAAGGAGCCACAGCTTTGGCAGCTCAATACCTTACACACTATGCTACCAGGGCACCTTTGAACCTCCAAGAGGGGAGAAAAAAGCAAACTCAATCCTAAAGGACAGAGTCGCACACTGCCTCATCTTTCTCTCACAGAACAAGGAGTGTTGTTAGGTACCACTGAGTCAGAACCAAATCATAGCTCACCCTCCAGCAGGTTTTCAGAGGCAGTAAATCGCCTGGGATTTATTGCTGTCTCAAACCATGTACCTTCAGGGTGGCAGTACAACTCCTTAGCTCTAAGCCACCAGGGCTTCATGGGACAGGTAGTGAGTTCAAACCACTGATCTTGTGGTTAGCAGGTGAGCGCTGAAGCTCTGTGTCACCAGCGTTCCCTAGATGGGGACAGAGTGAGCTGTAGTTCCCAAACATTTTGGCCACACAGCTCTAGTTCTACAGAGTTCTTCTTGAGACCTGTGTCTCTTAAGGTTGATCAGTCAACAGGGAGGCACTAGAGAGCTACAAGCAGGAGTGAGGACTAGTCATATTCACATATTGGAAAGGTCACTCTGGCAGCCAGAGACCGAGGACACTTTGGAAAGAAGCTGAGCTGATTATCCTGGTAAGAAAGGTGAGAGGAAAGTTCTGCTTTGACTTAGAGAATCAGAGAGGACAAGGCAGCTTGAGAGGTGTTTTGGAAATAAAGAGGCCAAGCTGGTCAACAGAAGGCATGTAGGTAGGAAGAAGCTGACATGATTCTCGGGTTTCTGGCCTACCAAAGGGGTGAAGGGTGGGGCCAGCCACTAAGGAATGTGAACAGGAAGAGAAATGAATTGGGAGGAAGGTGAGGATGAGGAGTGGTTCCAAGCCACTTAGAACTAGGCAGCAGAAGTGCTGGAAAAAAACAAGCTAGGGGATCGGAATCAAGGAGGTGGACAGGGTGCAGTGTAGCTGACGAAGACTTCGGCCTCCATGTCAGTTGCATCTGGAGCTGGATCCCCGCCTACGAGTACAGTGTGCCTCCCCTTCCCCAAATGAGAGCTGAGACATGGGGCCCACTCCAAAGGGTTGCTATGCAAAGGGAATGCTCTATGTTGGGGACAGGAGAACCAGTAAGAGAACGAGTCAAATAAGAGAGGATGGAAAGAGCAAACACTAACAAAAATTTTTAAATAACACTATCTTCTGTATACCGACAAGTCAGACCTGACCCATTGCTGACCCTCCAGGGTTTTCAGAGGCAGTAAATTGCATGGGAGCAGACTGCCTATCTTTTATCCCAAGGAGCAGATGGTGGATTTGAACCGCATACTTTTGTGTTGGTAGCATTATTCCTTACCACTAAGCCACAACAGATGTTGTTGTTGTGTATCATAGAGTCAGATCTGACCCACAGCTAACTAGTGGGTTTTCAGAGGCAGTTTCATCAAGCAGAAGGAGACTGACTGCTCATCTTTCTCTTATAGAGCCACTGGTGGGTTTGAACCAAGTGCCTTTAGGATGGGGCAGTGGAGCTCCTTACCACCAGGCCACTAGAGCTC